CTTCAGAATTTCCAAATTTCATAATTGCGATGGTCTTGTCGAATTTTTCCACGCACAAACTTCTCGTAAACTTGTCCCCAAACAATCTGTCCAAAACTTTGTTATACAAAGTAGACATTTGGAATTATGACATGAGGAATTTCGCCATTCTGTTGCCCTTCTGATCATAATTATGACATTTCATTGAAAACCATATCTGTATAGTCCCGCGTCCACTACCGGTCCCAGCTTACATTTTTTTGTAATAAATCGTGAATCTAACTTTTCAAAAGCGCAGATCATCCTAAGGTTTGTTGCCTGATATGCTTAAATGCCATTCTTTGCCAACTCCTGCCCTCCATTAATGTGTTTGCCGTGTACAATAGTATATGCATGGGCTTTTATTGGGAGGTCGGAATATGAAAACCTAAACATTTTTAAGGCATGCATTAAGGGCAAAGGTACCAAGCAAAAACGACTTTATTCGGGCTGCAAATGCTCGCGGGTTTTTGGGATAGTATTTTGCGACGGTCATTGTTCCCTGATACCTTGATGCGATTGTATCACAGTTTGGCGGAAATTTGGAAATGGCAGGTCGAAAGATGCCGTCGACCATAAGGACAATGTAATCTCACTTCAAGGCAACGTCATTAAGGACACTTCGTAGGCAATCAGATGCCGTTGGGCACACAAGGAAAAGAAAAAGAACTAAAAAGGAGAGGGCATAAAAGAAAAAGGAGAACATGAATAATGTCGGGGGATTTGTGAAAGGCAACATTTAGCAAACACCGTATTTGGAATCAGGTCATCGTGTGACCAAACTAGGGGCTAAGCCCCCTTCTGGAGTGCACTGGAGGATTCGATCAGCTGAAAAACGCAAGTCAATTTTAATTGTTGAAACCTTTGGAAGAACCAGCTTTTTTCCTGGAGATTCCGGTTAGCCTAGTCATCAAATACAAAGTGTTTTACATTGTTTTTAGTAGGTCCGAAATATATTTGAAGTAGAGATACTTTTGAAAAAAGTTAGAAAAATGTTGAAAAAAATCAAAGATTGCGTCGTTTGGGGTCGAAAAAACAATTTTTCGACCTAAAATTGAATTTACCATCAAATTTATAAACTTTGGATGCTTAGGAATAACTAAGTTGTGTGCCAAAAAAGTTGGAAACTTTTATAATTCGTGCCAGAGTACCAAATTGTACTAGTAGTAATTCATTCTACCAAAAATCAAGGTTTGATGCTTAAGAATTGTCTATATTTGGTTATTGCAGTACGGGACTACTGGAGGAAATCCTCCCCCCCGCTAACAGCCCAGTTCGAAGTTGGTTGCTCGCACAGCTAACAAAAAGAGGCGGCTGGGGACTCACCTGTTGAAGATTCAAAAAGGGCATTGTTTGTAGAAGAAGCGGATTTAGGTGTGCTCCGGCCTCCTCTGCTGTCTTTGGGGCAAATATTCCCCCATTGGCTGCCGTAGCTCCTGGAAAAAGACGGGCATTGACTTGGGTTGAGGGGATCTCCAGGTAACGGCGCGTGCTAACAGAGTTTGGACTACTATCCGGCGGGATTTCCAATTAGAATTTTAAGAATCTGGAGTTTTCATAATCTCGATTTTCATAAGCCCGAGTTTCATCATCTGGAATTTTCAGAACATCGGAATTTCCATAGTATGAATGAACATTAAGAGCTGCAGGCATCGCTCGCTTACGCGCTGCATCTGGCCTATGCAAATTTCGAAAGTCTGAAAAGTCGAGATTTCGAATATTCTAGATCATCAAAATTCGAGATTCTGAAAATTCTAGTTTCTCATTTTCGATATTTTTGATAGATTGCCGTGCGGCGGAAGAGCCGGGGGTCTCGCTCGGCCGGGTTGGCACGGGACATTTCACGGACAAGACAAAAACGGCTTATTTGCTTCCTGTCGCCATTCGATTTGTCGAATTTCATTTCAGGTAAGACTGCAAATACCTAATTTTTCTGATAATTATTTCAACATATTCCTACAAACCCCTATTCAAACACTGTCTATTAAGTTATTTGGCATTTCTAAACTTATACAAAAAAGTGACATATCGAAATGTCGACAAAATATTGTGGCGAATTCAAAACGAATCACGAGAAACGAGACAAGAGAATAAGCCGACGCTGCTGCATTCTCACAGTTTATGTTAGTATGGCCAAAACACGAAGGCATTCGCAGTCCCGCTACCGTTTGTTTCGTTCATTATCACGCTGCCCTGGGGTAATTGTGTGACTTTTGAACCTGGCTCCGTAGAGGCTGAAAGTTTTCGATGCAAAAATGACCGTAAATTTTTTTTGTATATAAAATATTTAATACTTACCACCAAGTAGAAACGGGGCGAGCAAAGCCGATGCACTGCTGGTCAACGGCTAAAAATATGGATTTTTGAAAAGTTTTTTCTTTTAAAGGGATCCAGAAGGACCGGTAGATCAGGGCTCTTATATACAGGGTGTCCCAATAAAAAAGGTCACGCTGGCATTTTCCGATTTCAAATCCGACCGACTTGAAATTTTGCACAGAGGTGCGGAAGGGAATTTAAAATGTTCACAGAAACTTTTAGCCCGATCGGTACAGTAGTTTTCGAGTTATTGTAAAAATACTGGTTTTCTAACACTTTAGCTTCATTTTTTCGGCTATCTTTTTGGACTTTGCATCAATTAACATAAATTTCCTGCTCTAAATCCCTTATTCTTCTTAACATCGGCGTCGTTAGCCCTTGTTAAAAAAAATACTTAATAAATAAATATTTATAAATTGAATTATAGAAGTATTCCCAAAAGGGAAAATACTCGCCGAAGCGAGCGATAACCCCCGAAGGGGTAATATCTGCCGAAGCAGACGGGGTTCCCGAAGGAAAATACTTGCCGGAGGCAAGCGGAAGTCCACAAGGGACAATACCACTCCATAAAGAAGCGGCGGGGACTCGTAAAACGAGTTAGCATAGGGTAGAAATATAAAGGAGGTGCCTGTTTCGACCCTTAATCCAAGACAGGCTTAAAATACGTCAGGGTGGGTCTCCTCAGTTGGATCCCTGACGCCTATTTTCGACCCGAATTTTGCTAAATAAAAAAATTCCTACGATAAAAAAGGGCCGGAGCTTCCTTTTCTCCATACATTCCAGGGCTCAATTCCGGCGGAATCCAGGTGAAAAACGTAAAATAAAGTTTATTTTTGCTATAACTCGAAAACTACTGTACCGATCGGGCTAAAAGTTTCTGTGAACATTTAGAATTCCCTTCCGCACCTCTGTGCAAAATTTCAAGTCGATCGGATTTGAAATAGCAAAATGCTGGCGTGACCTTTTTTTTTGGGATACCCTGTAATTGGAACTAGCCAACCGGAAATGCTAATGCAAAAAACGAGCATGAGTGGAGCAAGGCAAGAGGGAGCAAAGAAGATTTATGTTAATTTTAGAACTAAAACCAGTTTTATCCTAACTTTTCCTGGGCCTTCCTGATCCCTTTAACACTGATTCACTCTGATGTAATTTTAAAAATGTCTCCAGGTTTTTAGATAGTTTTACAATAGAATGGTAGTGTTCAAAAGTCAACAAACCCGTTGTGTCTGCTGCTCTTCGAGCTTTTCCTTTTTAGCTTGTTGCTGCCGTGTGGTTGCAGCTGCCTTTAGGGCTTCTTTCAGGGTCTGTTGTAGACTAAGAGCCATTTCTAAAAGAACAATACAAATCTTTCTGGGAAAACCACCTCGTTCTTTGCCTTCGTCACTGCAGCTCTTCACCTCCTCCTTGCCATCCTTTAAATAAATCCCCTCTTCGGAGTCCGAGTCGTCAGATCTAAGTCCTAGAGAATTTTTGATAATAGCTGCTAACGTTGGCATTTTAATTGATATAGCGTAGATACATTATCCATTGCTTTTACAGAATAATGAGCACGAACTGCTTATCGGGTTGTATTCCTCCCCATTGAAGTTCGAGAAGAGGGAATTTTGAACCATGGTTGGGAAAGGGTGAAGAGATGCGAGTTGAACTGAAATTTTTGCCATTCTTGCAAGATTTCATCAAATGGTTGCAATTAAAAACTAAACACTTTTATCTTACATTTTTTTGTGTGCTGAAAAACCATCGCTTAGAATATTTTTTGACTATATATCGATTGGCGTTATGAAAATATCGAAAATCTCCAAAAATTGGCTCCCCCATTCCAAGGATTTTGATAAATTTGTCTTTGTTGAATCCAAAATTTGCCGTACATTTTTTCGGGCTGAAATTAATTCTCCTAGTATATTTTTCGACGCTCTATGAAGCGGCACTTGCTCAATCCCGTAGTAATCATAATATAATAATGGTGCCCTCGCCCCGTTACCCTTTGTGTACTCTCGTTTGATCGAATGCTTCTTCCTTAAAATTTTCCCGTGGGTCGGAATTATGCTGATTCTACAATTCTTACAACCTTTGCTAGGTATTTGCCTAGATAGGCAGATTTCCAGGTGTCCTAAGTCTAAACCTAAGCCTAAGCCTGGGCCCAAAATCCTAAGCCTAAGCATCCATAGGCAGAGATCCAGGTCCAAGCCGTAATAGGCAATCCTCAATTTCAACCAGCGACTAACGGGTGAGGTGGTATAGCGCGGTGGCTTCCCCTTCCTTACACAGTGCCACTGGGATGGCAACGGCCATTATAAAGTCCCTTTAGATGTGGGACCCCCGGTGGTAAGTGACCCGTTTGGTTATCCCGATTTGAGCTGGCGGCTGGTAGGCCTTCCCCGGACCCAAACACTGTACCCAAAAAAGGCCACATGGTGGCTGCTAGCCCTCGCTTTTCCTAAAGCCGTAAGCAGCTCAAATTGAAACCTGGGATTACGATTCGATCCGGAGAATTAGAGAGGAGGTGCTATGCGGGACGAGATTAAATTTGCGCAGGATATGCTCGAACAATTACCTGGAAAAACTGTAAAATATTTTGACAGCAACTCGAGAATTGCTATAAAATAATAAAATAAATATTAGTTAGGGGTCGATACAGCGGCTTTTCACCCCTGGCCTTTGCGCGCGGACTTTAAAGTGGGGCTTTGATCATTCGAGGAAGAGCTAGAGCGAACCCTAAAAATAGGGGCTAACTGGTCGCGAGCGCGACAAAGCCAAAATGAGGCTCCTAGCGCCTCGTATGCAAATTAGTCTATTTCCATATGTTTCTAAAACGTTAAAATAAGGTATAAAACGAAATTTTAGTAAAAATCTGATAAGCGTGCAGTAATTTACGCCCTGGACTACCCCTAACTACCTTACTTCGGACCAAAAATTCATTCCCCTTCGAGTTATGGCTGGAACCCGGGTTTTTATGCAAAGTGTCTACACACACAGACACTATTTTTTTATATCAGGTTGGAAAGAAAGTAATGGCACAAAATCTTTAAACCGCTGTAAAAACCCGCAGGAACGTCCGATTCGAAAGTTTGTTGCATGGTTTGGTGATCTTGGATGCTCTATCACGAGACGACCCTCAAAACGCACAAAAACTGACGGACGCGAAGATACAGGCCTCAGAAGTTTGGCGAAAAATTAGGTGAAAGCTTCCAAGCGAGATATCTCTGCATACAGGCATTTGCATACGATACTTTTAACACCAATCGATAGCTCTCGAAGAGTAGATATAGATAGATGTTGAGATCATCAAAATCGGACATTGGATGGCCGAGATATGGGCCTTCCAAAATCAATGCATTTTCTGAATTTTGGTTCGGGAGCTGAAGCAAACGCAGCAGTTTTTGGCTCGCGCAGGCCTAAATGTATGGGATTTCGAGAAAAGTTCTAAGAAGTAGACCAAATTTCTAGGGGGCAGATCTCGGCCATCCAATGTCCGATTTTGATGATCTCAACATCTATCGATATCTACTCTTCGAGAGCTATCGATTGGTGTTAAAAGTATCGTATGCAAATGCCTGTATGCAGAGATATCTCGCTTGGAAGCTTTCACCTAATTTTCTGCGAAACTTCGAGGCCTGTACCTTCGCGTCCGTCAGTTTTTGTGCGTTTTGAGGGTCGTATCGTGATAGAGCATCCAAAGATCTACCAAACCATGTAACAAACTTTCGAATCGGACGTTGCTGCGGGTTTTTACAGTGGTTTAAAGATTTTGTGCCATTACTTTCTTTCCAACCTGATATATAGTAGGATGGATTATTGCTGTGCCCGATATAACCCTGGTCGAATTTCCCGACCCATGGGATGAAAAACGACCAAATGCCCCGTGGTGCTTTTTTTTTGGAGCAGTGGAAAATAGCTGGTAATCGCGCTCCATCGAAAGGTTTCATTTTTGATAGAGACCAAACCGGACCTTCTGATGCTGCTTTTATTTTTTAGCCTTATTTTGTTGTGTAATTGCTTAAGCCTTTAATCCTAAGCCTAAGCTGTGCCTAAGCCTAAGCCTAAGCCTAAATATACGTGCAGATACGGGAGCCCATCCCCGAAAGGCCTTTAAATATGGGAAAATCTTGATCACAATTTCTGGGAAATACACTGCGATTCCACGGTTTTCGTGGGGGTCAAGGTGAATTGAGGGACCAATGTGGTGTGTTCAGCCTGGGAGATGCATATAGTCAGCTACGTAATTATGTCCAGAAATAGGGGAGAAATCGGCGAATAGAGACGCACTTCCCGTGTGATTTCTGGCACATAACTTATTTCAAAATTCTCAGTCAAACCTGGTCGGGCGACGCAGTGGCCGATTCGTTGGTTTTCCGCTTGCGATTCCCATTGATCTGACCATTTTCGAACGTGAATTCAGTCTTGTGCGGAACGCTGCTCATCGCGTCTGAAAAATGACCAAGGTCATCATCGGTAATCGTGTATACAAAAATTGCTCGTATAAATGCATCTAAATTACCATCAGGCGCGTTGAGGCAACTCTGGATGAGAGACTTTCCGGCATCGCTGCTAACCATCGGCTGCAGCTTGTTGGTGGCGAATGTGTAGACGTGGCCGGTCTCCGACGCGACAAGCAGCATCACTTGAGTACCCGTCAGTGTCGACAGTTCATAAACCTGTAGTCACGGTGTGTGGTTTCTCACCAGGAGTAGATTTTCTCAAGTACTTTAGTATACATATTTGAGTAAAACTTTACTCCCCCCACAGCCAAAGGGTCTTACAGTTGTCGGTATTTTCGCTTATTTTGTCGGGATTTTTGCAACGCTATTTGATAGAGCGTCGAAAAATATAGTAAGCGTTTAATTTAAGCCTACAATAATGTAATATAAAAAAGTTATTAAGGGAGGGGGTAAAGTAAAGTGTAGCCCATACTTGTTCAGCGCATTTGACAAATGGTATCCAACAACGGGTAAGTTATAATCCAACCTTTTTCATGATGCCCGTCTTGCGTTTGCTGAACGTGGTGTACCGGCGCAGTTTATTACCGATGTACTCCATCTTGATCTTGACACGCCCTGAAAAGCGCCTTGGAAATAACTGGTGTATTCACCTTTTGTCTTTTTCCCGTTGGGTAAACCTAGCGTGTCGCCGATGCCGTGCTCCATCAGACTGATCCCCGTTGACGTTGGCAAATCGGGAAACGTCGAAAATTCCGACATTCTAAGAGTGAATGAATTCCAGCGATAATGGTCGCTGATTGGAATTTCAATTGAATTAGAAACAGGTGAGGCCGAAAAGTGAAGTGAATCACTATTTCTAAAACCAAGACTTCTAAAAGTCATTACTTATAAAATACCTAGCGTAGATTTGCGAAAAAATATGACTAAATTTGCTTGAATACTGATAGTCCGACGTACTAACTTTTAGAAGTAGCGATTCTAGAATCAATGACTTGATTTTAGAAGTAATGACTTTTAGAAGTAATGAGCGTGGGTCGACTAGCCAATTTCGGGCCCGAACCCCTCTCACACGCCCAGCTACTGAATCGGTCGCTGTCCTTCCTTAATAAAATGCGATCGCGTGAAATGTATCGTATCCCGGCGCACCGGGTCATATTAGCCAAGGAATTGAAGGCGTCTAACTCTATTCAGTTGAATGACCACAAAAAGTAGATAGATGCACAGAGGCCCCGCCTCGTCCCCCCCCCAACGCGCAAACCCGGAGAAGTTTTCCGCTCTGAAACTGGGTCAATCGCCATAATGCCCGGGCCCGACATCGTACTAATAACAGCGACAAGCCTCGGTCTTTTGCCATTCCCTCCGTCCCCTCACCATTGTTTTCTGGAGGGGAAACGACGAGCCCCGTCCATACACCGTGCACACCAGGGCGCCAATAACCGGTTTTGGCAAGAATTGCCCCAATCGGACCTCACCTCCCCTCCAAGGTAGCGAGGCTGGGTACGGTAACAGTCACCTCCAACAAAATTTGGCCGCCGCTCCCGGTTGGATCTCACAGGCAGACGTTTTTTAGTGACAATCGAGCCCCGTACGGGACGAAGTCAACCTTGTGCAGAATTTTGCGCTGATCCCGAGCCTGTTTTCAAAATCTGCGAAACCATAGGTTTCAAAATATTACTAAGCGCGAAAAAGGCTCCCAAATGGCCCAATTTCGACAAAATTTTACCTTTTCGGCCGTAAAAATTTTATAACTTTTTCGACTGGTCGTTTTGCAGCTTTTTAAAACAGGTTCGGAATCAGCGCAAAATTCAGCATAAGATCGGCTTGATCCCCTACAGAAAATCGATTTTCACTAAAAAACGTCTCCTTGTCGGTTAATAAGTGCCCTTTTTTGATCGCAACCCATCGCCAAAATTTCAAGAACTAGGGATATTTTTGATCGTTGATCACGGGGTTATACGTATTTCGTTAACATTACTAAATTATCTTTAGCTAAGAAATGAGGCGTGCCTGAATACTCAATACGCCAGAAAGTGTTGCCGAGTAGGCGCAAAAGATTAAATACCCCCGAGAACCAAGACAAAGGTGCTCAGAAAAATGAATTTAGGAAGAAAGTGAGGGAATATCAGTTGAGGTATGTGATCTTTTTGGGCGGTTAGTTAATGTCGATTTTAAAGGGTATGGAGGAAGGGTTAAAGCAGTCTTTCGTCTAACACGAAGGTATTCTGGGTTAAGTAGGCCAGTTGAATTAATGAACATCCCAACCAGCCATAATATCTGTAATACTGTCGGACTCGAAAAGAGCCAAAGAGGATTCTGAAGGTGGAGCCGAAATTGGCCGGAGAGGTGGGGGAAGCGAAACATGCAAATGCTTTGCTGCTGCAACCCCCGATCTGTGTGATACTGGCCAGCCTTCGGCTTCTCATCTCTCCCCTGGGGTGACCAAGACGGTCTCAAGCGGGAACCCGGGGCGAGACTGGGTGCAAAAATATAGAGCGTGCTTATGTAATGAGTGTATTTGAATAGAAGTCGCGGGAGGGGGGGCCTCTTCGTTTCTTCCGCTCCTCCGTCAGCCTTCCAAACGGGACTCGCCCCATCCATGTGCACTGTCCCGGGAAGGTGCCTTCCAACACCCAAAATTCATAGGCGAGACCTGAGTGGCTCACGAAGCCGCGGCGGTAAGAAATTAGCTTACTTTTAAGGCATAAGGAAAAACCGTCTAAAACCAAAACCGTGTTTGATTCTTTCGCATTTTCGGGGGACCGAACTTCTGGAAATGCCTAGTGACTTAATAGAAAGTCTTTAATGGTGTTTTTTAGTCATATAAAACTATGCTTCAACTAGAAAAACTTTCTAAGAACTTCAAAAAAAAAAATCGAAATCTTGGTCAATCGGCCATTCTCGTCGAAAAATCGATATTTCGGATATTTTCTAATACAAATCTGCAAAGCTTTCACGTTGAGGAGCACTAAAAACCATTTACAAACACTTCCACAATTTATACTGAAAAGTTAGATCCTCAGAAAAAGTTAGAATCCGGAAGGAACTATTATCGTTAGGGCAGAAATTTCAGTTATTGTTGGAATCCGGGTTTATATATCCAAATGCAAAAGCACTCTTTTTAGAAATTATATAAATTTAAGCGAAATGGGCATATGCCGAGGCGACGCGATGGGGGCTCCAAGTTTAGTGGTGTGCCTGCCCGCCGCTGTCTCTGCGAAGAGTTCCCCGGTAAGGTATCGGTGGGAGCGATTACAACGGGACCCAGGGTCCCCAGGGCAGAGAGAGAGAGAGAGAGAGGCATCTGTTCATCGTAAAAGGGAAGAAGCATTGCGTCTCACACTCGGACCCTCAAAGGCCACAACTGGCCTCACAGGACACGGGGCGGGGGAGGGAAATCTGTGGAATGTGAGAAGAGGTCACCTATCCCCCATATGCGGGCCCCCTTTGAAGTTAGGAGGTCCGAAAAGGGGAGACTCGACATGTCGAGGTGGGCCCCACCACCAGATGTGCAATTCCTGCCATCAACGTTGTCATTCCGAAGAAGAAATACCGTTGCTAATGGGCCTATTTCAAAACGTCGAAAAGCATCATATCGAAAGTCGTAATGTCGGAATTTCATGAATTCGAAATCGAGAATAGCAAAATTTACATACGCCAATTTTCCCCGGAAAACCCCCCGAATCGGATGCAAAAAGATTCGACTTTCTGAATTTCAACAATTACGCTTTTCGACATATTGATAGCAAATTGTTGTTAATATTGCAACGCATGCGCCAGTGATATCCATTTACGAAGAATCGAGTGGTATTCTTAAACTCAGAGAAATGCTTAGTAGCAGAGCTTCCAGCAAATGGCAAGCCTGTTTATTGAGCCTGTATTTGGCCATTTTCATAATTTTTACCAGAAAATGAAAATTTTTCGCTAATAGTGGTTATCTGAGTTTGTTGTATATGAAATCAGTGTCAAGTCAATGCTATAAAAATTCTTTCTTGAACGGCCGCTACTAGTCGCGTGCGCTTTCTTGGTTTTGCTATTTGGCCACCCATCATTATTTCTTAAACCGTTGCTTTTAAAATCCCTGGAGTGTCGATTTGCGCCATAATTATGTCCAAATTTTCCCAATAACCGACTTTTAGAAGTAACATTTTTGGAAGCAATGATTTTTAGAAATGACTTTAGATTTAATTTTTAGAAAACACCTTTAGACGTAATGATTTTTAGAAGTAACTTATAGAAGTAATGATCGTCCCCTCGAAAACAACTTTTTCTTAATCCAAGATTTAGGCAGGCATCTCGAGGTCGTAGCAGCTTTGCTAATCTTTGTTAAAGCCAAAAGGCGCGCGCAGAAACTGTTGGGTGGGGGGGGAGCTTGGAGATCGGACGGCAGGCGGATGCCGTCACTGGTGCCTGGGATATGTTTGGCAATGCGGGGTGAAGGCGGCTGTCGACAACCGGGGCACTACCGTATCCGTGAGCCATGCCCCGTCATGGGGCGGGCACTCCAGAGTTGAGGGAGAGAGAGAGATGGATTCGCTCCCCCGCCAAATAGAGATGGCACACATATGGTATCGATGCGGGCAGTGGAGCTCCCGTTCCGGGCGAAAGAAGCCACCACCTCTATTTCCCCAAGCTACCCCTGGAAAAGCCCGCCCACTCAGCGAATCGATTGATTCAAGAATAGATACAAGGTCTCCTGAACAAAAAAAAACCGCCCCTCGGCATTTGGCTGTCTTCGATCGGATCGGCACCAAATTTTTACCAGGGATGGGGATCCATAAAAAGTACTTATAAAACATAAAAATTGGGCCAGACAGAAAAAAGTGCGCTCTTCATTTCTGCCAAATAATTCAAGGTCGAAATCCCTCAACATCGACAAAAATGTTTCATTTTAGCTCTAACTTTTAGCTTTTTGCTTACAAAATTCGGTTGCACGAAGTTGATCCAGCCGCACGCCATAGAAATTCATAATCCCACTAAACTTCGAAAAAGCAAAACTTGAACAAGATAATTTTATTTTATTTTTGTTTTAAGTTTTTCTGTTTCTATTTTGAATTAGATGGGGGATTTTCCCTACTAGGCAAAGCCTAACTTTTTACCGGTGGCGCAAGAATGCTTGACGGTTTTCCACCATCGATGAAAGGCGAAAAGAGCCCTAAAATTTTCGCAACATCAAAAACTTTCGGTGCAAAGTTTTTCGCGTTCATTACAACGATTAATTATGTACATGCGAGAAGTTTAATTACCCGGACTTAGCGGCAGACTAGGAAGCTGCGATTCCTTGCTAGTACTCTCCCCATGGGGTCAGCTCGGGCAACCGGGGGGCGCTTACAGTATGCTGTGCCGTGTTAGGCGATGAGTGGAAAGGGGGAGAGAATAGGAGGCGGCTTTTCGGGAGTGCCGCGGCCGGCTGGAAGCTCTCCCATCGGCGGCCCGAGACTTTTTAAGTCAACAAAGACAGACGAAGGGGGGGGCAGCCGAGTGATTGAGGGAGGGGAGGGCAAATCGGGGCACAGGGCACCTGGGGAGGATGTGAAGTCAAGTGTGCCACCGCCAATGAAATACCAAACTCAGCTCTATTGATTCGTCGTTTGACTGTGGCAATGGACACTGCTACACTACTATAAAAATCCATCGAAATCTTTTAGCGGTGTAAGGGCCAGCAACGAAGCACGTCGTTCGTCAAGAAAAAATGTATGGGACCAAAAATTTGGAGGCTTAGTTCTTTCTAAAAAAAGCGATTCGAATAGAAGATTCGATACTATGCACAAAAAAACTAATTTTCCAAAAGTATCGAAACGAAGGCAGTTTTGTTAGCGACTTTGTTTTCGCAGGGCTAACTTGCTGTTTTGGTTTCATCCAAACCGTAAAAATTTCTACTCTGAGATAAATGACCTGGCATTTCAATATTAAGTCGGTTTGATAAAGTTATCACTTTTGCTTTAATTTTTTGGCGCGCGCTACGCCCGGCTCCTATGGACGCTTGCGAAAATACGAACTCGTAAATGCTACGCCACCAAAATTGCATGCGAATTTCCACGCTAGCGTAAAGACACTATTTCTAATGTATATCGTTAAATACAAATGCAAGAACTGACACCAAAAATGAGGCTAGCCCATACGTAAAACGCTCGAAAAAGATAGATACAAGAGGACGATCAGCTGTTAGGGGCGACACGCTGGCGGGGACGGCTGTTCTTTTTCTGTTTATCGAGAGGACTCGCAAAAAATTACGGTCCCATAAAGGGATCCATTGCAATTAGTTACCGTATTTTTTCTAATATAACCCCGGGTTATATTTTTCAATTACCTCAGGGCAGGGGGCTACACTTTACTTTACCCCCAGCCGGAAGTTTTTGACCATAAAATTTTTTATATCACATCTTGTAGGCTCAAATTAAAACTCTTGATATCTTTTTCGACGCTCTAGCGAAACACGTTGCAAAAATCCCGACAAAATAAGCGAAAATACCGAAAACTTTGAGACCCTTCGGCTGTCGGGGGGTAAAAGTCAACTTTTACCGGGGAAAGGGTTGTATTGGAGTGAGTGACATATTTTTCGTGTTTTTGGGCGATTACAACGATTTCTAGCAGTTCAAACTGCTCACCACCACTCAGGAACACAGTATGGAGCTCAAACAGAAACGTTTGTGCCAGATTTTATTTCTTAAAGGGATAAGGAACGCCCGGTAGATCAGGGCGCCTCTATAATTGGCAACGACCCACCGGAAATGCTAATGCGAAAAAACGGACAGAGAATGGGGCGCGGCGGGAGGGGGCAGAGATGATTTCGGCTAATTTTAGAACTAACAACTTGTAAGATAATTATGCTAATTTAGCTGGGCCTTACTGATCCTTTTAAAGGCCACTTCGAAAAAAGGTTTTTCGGGGGTAGTCCAGAGGAGCGGGCTATATTGAAAGGAAATGCGGTATACGTACGAACGGACGTTACGTACGTTACGCGAAAATGGCGTCGTCGATGCAGAAACGGTTGCAGAAAGAAAGAAATCGGAAAGTGCCGGGACGAAGCGTGCGGATGGCCACAGTTGCAGGCTGGCGCGCGGGGTGGGAAAGCTGGTGACGCGTGCCCGCTTCGTCTCGGACCTCTCCAATTAGCATGTTCCGGTCGACGCGCCGCCACACGATGGGATGGGGCGACGAGGGACCCGCCGGAGACAAATGCCAAATAAGACTGGTCCCCTCCCCGCAACGGCAGCCCCCGCGTCATCATCTAGCCCCACCATCTTCTGCGAGCCACCGTATTGGCCCAAGATCCTTCCCTTAAGTGTATCCAAGAGGGGGGGGGGCAAAACCCAAAATCCCGACAGCCAGAATCCCAGTTTTTAAAAACTATTGATGGGTGAAATTACTGGAAAAATTACATTTTGCCTGTCGGGATTATGACTGGATATAATTGAAAGGAGATTGACGAACAAAAGCTATGATAGCAGAATGATAATGGTTGCTTAAAGGGATCGCGCAAGCAGGAATCCACGCTTAGGCAGGCACATCCACGTGCGTTTCCGGAATTTTTTTTAGATTTGGCAGATATTGCGCACCAAAGAACCCTCATCGGCGGATCAGCGCACTAATGAAAGCCCGGGAGGGGATGTGATGATAACTTTGCCCTCAGGCTATGCTCTGGGGAAAGGTTTGGTGTCGCAGGTTCGTGTTCAAAAAATGCTCGATAAAATAAGCCACTTCCCTGAAAAATTTGTAATTTGGAAATTTTGGTAAAATTAGCGTCATCAGAATGAATGTCATACAAGATGGGTTTGTGCCATCCCAAAGCCCGGACGACACTCAAAAACGCCTCTAAGCCCGCGCAAATATCATTGAAGGAACCGTAGAACGATTCACCGTCAACGGGACTTGACATGGTCATGGGGCCGGAGACTGTCGGAATAATGTCCTCTCTCCCTATGCCCAAGGCTGCCCAAAAAACACGGAGGATCGCATTTCCCACGGTTATCACGGAGTAAAAACGAACATTTGTGTGCGCCATTCCCGGAGCAGTGGAGGTCATATCAATCAACTAGGGTTTTTGCTGCCAGCCGATTGTGGCAATACCGAATTTGCATATCTTAACAGTAAGAACCCCTGTTCTTTTTCAAAATTTGACCAGAAGTTTGCACGAACTAACGGCGAAAATGTCTATAATAAATCAAAATGGATAATTGATTTGACGAATTAATTCTTCCTTTTTCCTTTTCTCCTTTTCAGCCCCGTAAACGCGATCTTTGACTTTCTAATTCTTCCAAAATAGCCTCTATAGATATTGCTTGAAAGAGCGCCCAAAATGTGACAAATAACCAAAAATTGACAAAAATCAGCACACCTTTCGCGGTGGTAGCGGCGGTATGTGGCTGCATTATCTTCGCTTCGATCGGTGTCCTCCCCCACCCACTTTATTCGTGATTCATTCCAAATATGCAGCCCCCACCATCCAGCGCAGAACATCCAAATTTCTAGCGTGTGCTCTCAGCAGGAATTCCAGCCATAATCCCGACAGCGAAAATAGCCACTGCCAAAATAGCGATAGAAAAATAGCAAATAGCCAAAATGTGATATTTCCGATCGCTTTGCCCATAAGTGGCTTTCAAATCTGGGGTTTCTGGCTGTCGGGATGTCGGCGTTCTCCCGCCTGACAGAACGTATATGTCGTAAAATTTTATTTGGCTCTGGACAAACGAAACAAATAGAAAACAATTCTCTGTAAACGATATCATGCAAATCATTAGATGATCCCAGATGGCTGATAGGAGAAGGCTGTTTTTCCGTATTGCAACTTGATGAGTCGAAGAGGTGGGGGCAATAATGTTTGAGTTTTTTCTGAATAGATGGGGGCGGTCCAATGGAAGGCGAGGGGCTAAGTGAGCGCCAACTGAATGGGGGATTTATCAAATAAGCATTGGACGGAAAAGTGAATGAATCTCCTAGAATCCGGCGATCACGCAGTACGCCTCGAGGGCCGACATCAGCAAGTAGAACAGCCAGAGAAACGTGAAAAGACCCGAGGTGAAAATCTGGAATGAACTGTTTGACTCCTCCAAAACCGATCGGCTCCAGGGCCGGCCTATGCCTTGCCGAATGTATTGTGTTTTTCGAATAATTATTTACCTCATAAACAAATTACGGTAAATGCTGTACGTAGCTAAATAGTTTTTCAATCACCAAACCACGTTTTCAGCTTGAAATAGAAATATTTTAAATCGTTCTAGTCTTCTGACCAGAAGAAGCAAAATCTTATAAATTAAAATGTAATTTCAATGGTTGAGCTGCTTATGAAGAAAACAGACTACAAAAAAGCGCTCGTGATACCAATAACGCGCTCAAAAATTTAGGTAATTTTACGAAGCAATTCAGTTTTGAACTAGAAATCTAAATTTTAAACGGAAGCTTCTTCTAAAGGTAAATCGCTTTTAAGATGTTTCTTTTGCCTGGAGAATTAGAAACAATGGCAATTACAAAATGCGAAAGTCATTTCCAGGTTAAGTAACGAATAAAAAACCGAGCTACTTAAGATCCGTAACGTGCAAGCAAAAAGCAAGCGAGCGACCAGATTTAGCCATCGACCTACCCTAAAAACGACGGGGCCACCCAGCTCTCCGCCGACGTATTTGTTGCGTCGCAAAACGATTACGGCGATGCAGAAAAGGGCTTCGACGCAGAACAGAGCCACCGAGAAGCCAAGGTTTCCCGGGTCGACAAGGAAGCGTGAGCCATTGAGGGCATGATAGATTGCCGCCATCGACCATGCGATTCCGATTCCGAGGAACACGTTGACGCCGTTTGAGCCGGTGACGTTGCCGATTGAGTTATCAGCGTATTTGTCCTGTACTGCGGACACCTTTGAGGCGAACGTATCTGAAAGAGATTGCGTGAAAGAGACGGAAAGAGGGAATGTCTTATATGGGTCGACTATGTGAGCGACTTGCTGCCTCCCTTGGCAAAAAGATCCCCGGGGCCGCCCAGGTTGCAAAAAGCGCACTAAAATTCTTGGTCCTTCAGGGTACAGTTTGCCCTCGTTTGAATCGTCTAAGCTCTTACACAAATTGCGTTTTAGAATACCATAGACGGTAAATGCTAAAAGTTCAACAAAATCGAACCCGGACTACTGGCCCTGGGGCGGCCGCGAGAACGTATCAGGTTGGAAAGAAAGTAATGGCACAAAATCTTTGAACTGCTTGTAAAACCAGCAGGAACATCCGATTTGAAAGTTTGATATATGGTTTGGTAGATCTTCGGATGCTCTATCAAGACGACCTCATAACCCAACACCCAATGTTACGCAAAAATAAGGCCCAGAAGTTTCGCAGAAAATTGGTTTAGCTTCAAGCGAGATATCTCTGCATACAGGCATTTGCATACGATACTTTTAACACCAATCGATAGCCCTGGAGGAGTAGATATCGATAAATGTTGAGATCATCAAAATTGGACACTGGATCGCCGAGATATGGTCCCTAGAATTTTGGTCCACCTGTTAGAACTTTTCTCGAAATCCCATACATTTTGGCCGGCGCGAGCCAAAAACTGCATCGTTTGCTTCAGCCTCCGAACCAAAATCCAGAAAATGTATTGATTTTGGAGGGCCGATATCTCGGCGATCCAGTGTCCAATTTTGATGATCTCAACATCTACCGATATCTACTCGTCGAGGGCTTTCGATTGGTGTTAAAGGTATCGTATGCAAATGCCTGTATGCAGAGATATCTCGCTTGGAAGCTTTCACTGAATTTTCTGCGAAACTTCTGAGGCCTGTATCTTCGCGTCAGTCAGTTTTTGTGCGTCTTGAGGGTCGTCTCGTGATAGAGCATCCGAAGATCTACCAAACCATATATAAAACTTTCAAATCAGATGTTCCTGCTGGGTTTACAAGTAGTTCAAAGATTTTGTGCCATTACTTTCTTTCCAACCTGATACTATACAACAATGTCTACTTGTTATTCAGTGCGAACAGCGCCCCATTTGCTAGTTGCCCTGATAGGCACGCGATTCCGCTAATCAAAGCTGTACCTGGTACTGAAGTGCCCAGCGCGACGAAGGAGATGGCAGTCACCGCATCCTTCAGCCCCACCCAGCAACCAAATTGGGATGCGAGATCACCAATCAAGGCCGTCAACACGCCGATCATGGCGATTGCAACAACGAAGCAAGCCCAGCCACCCCTGCAAAAGCCGGGTCATCGGGACTATGAAGATCTGACTCTCACTATCTGGGAATGTATCAAAATCTCGAAAACAAGAATCTCGAATTTTCAAAAAGCTCGAGTTTTTTGAATAACGAAATTTGCATAGCTTTTCTGCAGCTTTTAAATATGATTCATACCCTGCAAATTTCGCAATTCTAAAAATTCAAGATTTTGAAAATTCGAGAGTTTGCAATTTCGAGATTCTGATGGTTAATCGCACTTTCTCTCTCTCTATCGCTCTTGCCCTCTCCCTCTCTCTCTCTCTCTCTCTCTCTCTCTCTCTCTCTCTCTCTCTATCTCTCGCGTTCTTTTTCTCTCCCTGAAAAATCCGATGATCAAAAAAATCGGGAAGTGGAAAGTGAAAAAGTCTATTTCAAAACATACCAATAATCAGTGGGTGGAATGGTGGCAAACACCAGTTTCCACGGCACCGTCAGGAAGTGCATGAAATAGTCGAAGCAGCTCGGAGGCTGTTTCTCACTGATCTCGTCAGCTTCATCCCCACATTCCTCATCTCCGTCGTCATCGTCGCCGGCCTCGACGGAGAGGGCCTCGATGAACTGTTCCCTCCACGAAGACGTTCCCAGCATCAACTTTGTGTTCGCGTTTTTGATCATTCGGTCGATGATGCCCTGCAATGACAAAATGGAAGCTGAAGGCAGAATATTTCCAGATGATGTGTTTATGCATATTTCTAAATAGGGAAGTTGAAAATACCCGCAACACGGAGCGGGCTCAAAATATGCATACTCATAGAATTTCACACTGATGCATACTCATAGAACTTTCGAATTTGTTAAATTTCAGCCTTAAATTTTTGAGATATTAAAGTTTTAGCATCGTTTTTCGGCCCATGGGAAGTGATTTGTCACGACATCGAACTTTTGTTTCGATGTTTCTAAGTATTTTGCACAGCCTCACTGCAAGAGAATTTTTTGTTTGATTAAAATGGTATATTTCGTTAATGCACCATGGCCCTAAAAGAATTCTACAGTTGGAACGCGGCTGTTTGCTACCATTTTCCATGGTAAAATCGGTGTCAATAAGGTCAAATTTTTTTCATTTTTCGAGTTTTGAGTTGGAGAAAAACAGCTTTTCTGAATACGATCAACGTTTTCAGCCCGTCCGAATTCGACAATTTTAACCAAAGAATCGCCTTAACTTTAGTATCTCAAAAGAAGGCTCTGTAGCAAATTCGAAAAACGAGACCATTATCAGCTTGGTCCATTCCATAAGTGTGCGAGATACGATTCTATGTGAAGAGTTTGCCGCAGAAAACCACAAACCTGGAACTCTTTGCTCTCCTTGATGGTGATTTGACAGCGGAGATGGTCGCCGAGCCGCGGCTTTCCAAGCTCAGCAATCTGCAGCTGATCGTCGGTCAGTCCCATTGCGATCGCTTCATCTGGAAGCACAGGATCATGTTTCCCGGGATTCTAGAGGATTTCTATTGAGGATGGGCAGGGAGCCGAGTTGTGATCTTGGAAACTTAGTTAAAAGTATGGAAACATGCACTGGGGGACATCGGGTCAAAGCCGGCACAGGGTCAACCACGATAGCATAGCTATACAACCATGTCGCTCTAGTGAAGACACAGGTATTTTTTTTGCAACTCTGGCTAAGGAACGGGAGCTCCGAGGGTTTTTTGCGAAGCATCTAACACACTGAAGTGTTTCGGATCGGGATGGTAATTTGAGATTGGACCCAGTCTATCTTGTTCAGAGTTTTCCGCTGATTCCGAATCCGTTTTCAGAACTGCGGCATAGTTCAGGTTCAAAAGTTTCGTGGCATTGAAGGTTTGCACAAGAGAGGCCTGGACCCGGCCCGAATTTTCCTCCTGACCAAAAACAATTTACTGCGCTGAGGCTCTGGATGGATCGCCGCACCCAGAACCCGCTTTTCTCACGATCTACATATTTTCTGCGCGCAGTGGTTTGGATTAATTTGGAACGTTGTCAGTATCAGGAATATAAAAAGCGTCAGTAAAGACTGTTTAATATGAAAGGAAAGGTAAAAAAGCCGTTTCCCCTAGAGACCGCATAAGCATCACCAATCGAGGAAATGCACGCAGCTCCAAACGATTACATTGGGATAAGGTACATTATATAAGGTATTATACGCAAAGGCATCGGGTGGGGGGAGGGGGGCGTACGCTTACTGAGATTTCGAGGGGCTCTCCGTGCCGTCGTTTGAGCTGAACCTTCTGTACTCTAAGGACACGAGCACAGCACACCCCGTTGTGCTGACCAAAATGGAATCGAAGTGGATTGTGGGGTCATGGTTTGAATTTCATGGGGTCCGGAAAATCATCTTAATTTCTAGAACTGGCGGTGGCACCAAAACTGCAGTTTGTGCTTTACCACAGTGCAAGGACATAATACATATAGGATATTTTCTCGCAAAGAGCGTTGCGTGGAAACTAGATGCGCTATCGGTTCGACCAGACGGTGCAATAAAATTATCGATCCCAAAAAGGACCCTGTATTTTAACCTGGGAGTTTCGTGAACAGAAAACATGAAAGGTCTAGTGTGGGCGAGGTTTTCATGCTATTGCGGAATGACTTAAATAAAAGCATGGTTTTAAAGATAACCGATTGGACCTGTCGGGCTAGAGGGGGTGTTTTTTGATTGGGACACCTCGTATAGCTACCGCGAAAGCCGGGTGTTTCAATATTTGCTAGCCGAAAAGAAGATGCATTCCACCACCTGCGCAGTCGCTGATATCGTCGTCGGCGGTTGGGTCAGTGCCAGTGGTGCCATTAGATGCGGCGCGCTTCTTCTGCATACGACGTTGGAAGCGCTCTTGCACCTTCGAGAGATCTGCCAAACAAACCAATCACCACCACGATCACACCACAGCCAGGCCAAGCATGCCGGTGGGCATGCCATGGGCCACGCGGGTAGAAAAAAAGAGATAGGAGGTACAGGATAGGGGGCTTGAGATTTAAGAAATTGAATCTTCGGCGCGGAGCAACATGTATAGTTCGAATTTTCAAAATTCCGAACAAAATTGAAAACTTCGAGCAGAACGTATTGCTGAAAAGAAACCCCTAGTTAATCGGCTTCATGTTCGCGGATTAACGTACTACAACATCTAATGGTCATAATAGTTATTCTGCGTGGCTACTACAGGGTATTCCAAAAAAGATTTGACCCCCTCTAGCCGACCATGACGTTTGAGGCATCTATGGAAAGCTCTCCGAAAGTCAAGAAAACATCATTTTTCGTTTTCCAATACAGGCCTTTTAATTCGCGCATTTTAGGACCAAAGTCCATGAAAACCGTCGATTTATGTAAAACTCCGTATGCTAAGTGCTTGCTAAATCTAAAAAGACGACCCTTATTTAACGCTTTTCAAGAAATCGTTTAATACCGAGCGGGAAATACAAAATTTTGTGAAAAAAGCGCTTGTTTGTGGCCTTTCGAGGGCTTTCGGATGGTTTAAAAATCATCCCGATATTGTAGTTAATTTTTAGTTCATTAATTCATTAATCAACCAGCTACAGGGTTAGTTTTCTAGTTTTCTTGCAACTTTATACTTCTTGAAAAGTATAAAAGCTCTAAGGAAAAGTTCGTGAAAAGTTTTGAAGCGACCTAAGTCTACGCCCAAACGCCCCGAAGCTCGAACTTTACAATAATGCTCGAACGCCCGAATGGCCGAACCATACAACTTGCTCTGCGCGGCTCTGATAAACAGCTGAACAAAAATGGGGGTCGGCGCAAATCTCAAGTCATTGTTTTGCCTTCTTAAAACGGTGAAAGAAGTGTTTTATGGCGTTGGAAACGCTCTTCTACTACCAATTTTTGGCGCGTTTCGAAAGAAAGCTATGAATACGGCACATGCCGCAGGTGCACACGGCCGGGAGAGTGTTCAAATGTGATAATACTCAATAAAGATCTTGATTGCCTACCTGACATCTTCTTCGCCCAAATCGGTGCGCCTAATTCAATGTAGAAGTTATCGGTACGCTCGTACTGCTCGCTGTCGACGATGCCGAGCTCGATGAATGCCCTGGAAAATGCAATCCGGAGGCGTTTGAGTTTTCTTCCGTCTCGATGCCAAAAATCATGACCACTCACTCGGTCTGGTTGTCTTCAAAAACGACTTCGCCCTCTTTCGATTCGAAATCTTTGTCGCCCCGCGCTGACCCGTCGATGGTCCTGTAATTTATATTTCATGAAGAACTACCAAAGCTGCGCATTGTAGCCTTGCAACGATCTCTCACCTGAACGGCAGCACGACTTTCCCGCGGCACCCGGAATGACGCTGCACGCGCAGCTGTAGATGACCGCAAGACTCAACGACTTGGAAGTGATCATGCTCGAAGGAGAACACTCCGGCGTGGTCATCATCTGAAACCAATGGTTGACGATTGACGCAAAAAACAGGTAGGTTGTGGTGCTGGGCTTGAAGGATTTCAGAGTTTCGAAATTTATAGCTTAGGCAAATTTCGACATTAAGTAGTAAATTTAACAACGCGTGGTGGTCGGGTACGGATAAAAAACCAGGGATTGTCTTTGCCCTACCAAGGATCATGATGGTCGCCGTGGCTGGCATCTCCAACTGAGCAACCGGCAGCCCGCCGATGCTCGAAGGGTCCAGAATCAGTCCTTCCTAGAAAAATAGTGGTCTGGGTCAAATTATTTGCCCCTATGCCAAAGTGCTGTTAATCAGATCAAGGCTCGTCAAACCTCCCGCATCTTTGAATAGCGCCAGATCACTTATTTGCCCACCTTTGTGCGCACGCGTAGGTTCTTCAAGTGAAGGTAGAAGTGCTCGTCCTCTTCGAATACATCATCATCAACGATCTCGATCGTGATTCGCTAAAATATTGGCTGAACTCCACCGATATTAAACCCAGGCGAAATGTTTCGAAAGGATTTTTTCGATTCTTACCTGGTGCTTGTCTTCTGGGTAGAATGTCAGCGTACCCTTGACGGGGATGTAGTCCGAGCCGGCATTGGCCGATCCATCCTCTGTGAAGTAGTCAACCATGACGGTCAATCCCTTAACAACAAGAACAATGATGATTTGGAGCGCATAAAAGTATGGTGCGTTTTTCCTACTTTATTGATTTCCAAGGAGCAGTATAGAAGATTAAGGCTCATAATGCTGCAAAACCGTATGTGTCCTGGAGTGCTTTTGAGTCATCGGCAAACTACCGACCTAGCTCATTCGATGGAGAATCATGAACAACCCTTTTTCCCTTTTTTTTGCGGGATGGCCATCCCTGTTTTTATACAAATTTTAAAACTGCACCCGGAACGGCTTCTTTTCGCTGGAAGGGCACTCATGGTAAGAGACTGCCACTAGATTTTTAATTTTATAAAATCGTAGACAGCCATTCCGCAAAAATAAAGATCGATATCTTGTTTAGAATTGAATTCTCTATCGAATGAGCTAGGTCGCGAGCTAACGGATGATGTGTTGATTGAATACTCAGATTTGATTTGAATAATAAAATATCCAATGTGTTTCTTTCTCCTTTCACTTTGTGATCAAAGCGTAAACCGCTCTAACCAGCTCACCTCGGGGCCGCCGTCCTTTCCAACCACGACATCGAAAGTTCCGACATTCTCAAGCACTGTGTAGTGGGCCGGGTCGAAATAGATTTTGCAGGTGTTGTCGCGGAGATGTTTCTCTTGAGCGGAATCGAGAGCCTTGTTATGCTCTTTTTCGAGACGCTTCTTGACCAGATCACCACCGCCGACAAGACGCCGCGTCGCCTGAATCAACATTTTCAAGGTAATAAGGATTTGGTGAAGCCGGAGAATCCCAAAAGACGAACCTGGACGCGGTAGAAAGCACGCGATTTGGGCCCGCGGCTGATCATTTCATACTCGGCCTGTTTCTGCAAGTCCAACGGGCTAAAAGCAACTTGCGGCGTTTTGTGCAATGGAGGGCCCTACGTGATATGTGGATTTCGCTTCCTGATCTCACGCATCAACTCGATGAACTCCTGTCGATGTTCCTCAAAGGCGCGTACGGCCGGGTCTTGATCCTGAAACGGGTACGGTCTGAATTTTTCCCCGGCGTAACCTCAAGCATCTTCATCTCTTCGCCCTCTGTGGCGACCATCGCGTGCGAGCCACGTCGATATTTACGAGGTAGGAAACGGTGCTAGATGTCAAATGAATCTTACCGGCAGAAATAGGGTTGGTACCTGGATGATTTTGATGTCAGCAATCCATGCGGTGAAGACGGTCAATGGGAAGCAGGCGAATGTGACCAACCCCTCCCAGATCTCGATCTCGCCGGGGCTGAATTAAAAATTGGTTAGCCTTGAAGAAGGACAACTATTAACTGGTTTCTGCGCTACCCGTCATTACTTCTAAAATTTTTAGCGTCGATCGGCGAATAATCATGACCAAATTTTCCAAAAAATTGATAGTACGACGTACCAATTTTTAGAAGTCATGATTTTAAAAGTACTGATCGTCCCACAGCGGCCCGGCTCCTAATAAAACGTCCGGTAGCGTTGGAAATGAGGGAAGACCGCAACGCGCGCGATAGACGCGTCGCGCAATTGCGAAAGCAGGCCTGCGCAGCTAAAAACCGGTTGCTATTCCGCGCACCCGCACGCAACGCGCGAGAAAACACGTGTACAGTACGCCCTTTCCCTTGAACCATCTGGACCGAACCCATGGGCGG